CCCAGATGTTGTAGAACTGCAACTCCCATGATGAGTTCCATGCCTTATGAATGCTTTAGAACAGGCATAGGCAACCTACGGCACTCCAGATGTTTTGGACTACACCTCCCATGATGCTTTGCCATCGTAATTGGTGTCAGAACATTATGGAGGATGTAGTCCACAACGTCTGGAGTAACAAAGGTTGCCTACCCCTGCTTTAGAATGACAAAGCATCATGGAAGCTGTAGTTGTACAACATCTGGGGATCTACCTTTTGGGCACCCCTGCTTTAATGTATGAGATGTATTTTTATTTATAACTCACATTTTATTCACAAACAATAATTATCTACTTTTGAGTGATTGCCATTTGCTTTTCAGAGTGTGCCATGGCTAGGAATGGGTGAACGTGCCCACAAAAAAGTAAAGCAGTCTAACACAAGCTCTCAGTCAGACCTGTACATACATAGGTGTTTGTAAAAGCTTTTGTATATGCTGACAGCACTCTAAAAATCTTTTTCACTTATGAGATTTTGGAGGAAGTTTCCTCACCTGCCATCTCAAATAAAACGTTTTACTACAGCAAATGTTGCTAATAACTAATATTATAAATCAATGTGACAGGAGACCTCTTTGCACCATGACCTATAGAATGAGCATAGATTGTTATGGAGCTTACAGGAATCTTTTAAATTGACACTCTAAGCACCATAAACACTTCAGCTGAGTGGAGTTGTTACAGTAGTTGGAGTGCCTGAATGCTGTTAAGAGGTCATTTGTCAAACCTTTTACAGATTATTTAACACCTTGCTGCGTTGGATGGACTTGCGGTCGTTCTAGTCTAAATTGCTATGATAATCAGAAGATCATACTTCCTCATTACCATACCAATTCATACATGGTTTGGACTGTGTTTATTGGTAAGAGTACAACTGATGAAGTCATCCAATGAATATTGTCTATACCTGGCATGAATTGGTATGCTAATGCAGAATTATAAACTTCTACTTTATTAAAGCAACACAGACCTACAGTACCACAGGCACCCAATGCAGGAAGGAAAGTAGTAAACCATTAAACAGTTAAACTACCGTCGGAAAGCATCCAGCTTGTATGTAAAAATAAAAATTGGAATAAATGTGTTAATGGCTTTGCTTGTATTAAATTAATGTATATTTTTCCTAGTAAACCACATCCACCTACCTAGAGTTTCACAGACGCTGGACCCCATCAGTAACAAGTGATTAGACTGAGGAGAAGATCAGATGAGGTGTTAGCGGTTCTAAGTCCACATGACTTTATACAATTGTTACAGCTGGGGGAACCCTAAGTAAAGCAGTGAAATTAATTTTCGTTATCCTGATACAACAGTTTTAACAAGATTGTCTATCATTTATTTTCTTTAGTTCCATGAATATTTGATAAGATGATTAAATTTTAATTATTTTCAGTACAATTTGTTATCTTCTCTATTTGCCAGCCTGTCCTCTGAGGTTTTATTAACCAGCCTGTTAACAATTTAGGAGAACAAGTGTTTACTTGGTGAACACAGTGTAACAAACGGGTGCCCAAAAGGTAGATCCCCAGATGTGGTAGAACTCCCATAATTATTTTCATGCATTTAGAATTCCAAAGCATCAAGGCAGTTGTAGTTGTCAAACATCTTGGGATCTACCTTTTGGGCATCTCTGGTGTAAAATATACAAATTACATACTCAGTATTTCTCTATCCTTCTTAAACATTTGCTTATTAGACACCACCTGGACATAATTACAATACATGTTTATGTTATGTGGGCTTGCAATTTTAGTAAAGTTGCAAATCTTAGTCATACTGTTTTCCAGTTCTGTTGTACTGGTGGTTAAAAAAAATAAAAAAAAAAAAAATAAAGGCTCACATAGCAAAAACTAGTATTTTATCTATATTATACATTTAAACATTAAATATTTATTTTACATCTTTTAAACAGATTATACATTTATTTATGTTTTTTTATTGCCTGACAAAGCACCTACGCATATTGGAAGATGCTGTGTTATACTCAATGATTTGACAAATGTATATAATGATGTACATGAATAAATATATTTTTTGTTTGTCATTATATAACACCTCTCTTTTGTTCTTTTATAACCATTTAGCCCCTTTTTTTGACAATCGTTTGTATCAATAATGAGCCAGTTGAGAAGACGTACATTGAGTATAGATAGACAAAATTTGGTAAAAATTACTGAAATTAGACCGTATTGGCAATTTTCATATTTACTCATGTAAATTCAGGTTGTAATTTGTTCTGGCTGAATCTATACCATTCCACCACATACATTCTGTATGTGAAGTGTAGAATTTGGACATTCACAAAGAACTGATTTTAAAGAAAATTGTGGCTGAATGCATCTGGTAGGATGCACATTTGCAAATTGTTATTCACAAGTGAATGATAATTATCAAGACTACTTATCTATTGGCAGTGCTAACAGTCAATATGCAAATGGTTAAAAATCCTCAGCAGTTTGAGAGTTTGAGGGTTAAGTGATGTGCTGGCCGGCCAGTGTTTGCAAGCCACAGTAAAATGTAAAACCAATGGGGATCAATATCCCTCCATATTACTATAGAGAGGGTTAAAG